AAATAAACCTAATTACCTCCCCCCTAAACAAATAAAGAAAGTAAATATTCACACTGATTGGATTGAGCACTTGATAAAGTGCAAGGAGGTTGGCAAGCCCATGAAATGTAGTTACACCTGCCATGATTTATTGTGTTTGCTGAGAGTTGTGGCACCTACCAAGCAGGATATCTTTCATTTTCAACATTTTACAGCTCCTGGCATCTCCTCACACTGCCCTAAATTTCTAGTCACGCCTCTTGTGCACGGAGATCCCCGTCTCTGTATTCACATCATGACCAGAAACTCGTCCATCCGAATTTTCATCTGGGTCACTAAGCAGTGCATGTTTTCATCCATTCATTCCTTCAACAGATATTTACTACTCTGTGCCAAGCATTGTGCTGAGGGCTTTAGTTAGGTCCAAAGATGCCTTAATTTCAGGACTTCAAGTTTTAATCCGTTAATAATTATTAAATAATTCTACCATTTTGCTGATTCTTCAGAAAAGTGCCTTCGAGACAAATGACCTCATTTGATTTTTATAACAATCTCCTTAGGTAGGTACTCTGGTTAGTCACAGTTTTAAGATGAGGAAACCAAGTTCAGAGAAGTTGTCTAAGTTGTTCAAGTCATACTGGTGGTAAGCAGTAGGTTTTGAAGCCAGGTTGTCTGACCTTACAGTCTGGGTTCTGCGCTTATACACCTGCCTGGCCCGGTTTCATGTGGCTCACCTGAAGGGTATCTGTATGTTTAATTTAGAGAGTCTGTCAGTCACCTGACATTAACAAGCCTTTCATCAGAAGTAAAGTCCCCTGTAAACCAGCTAGATCCCACCAGCTAGAGAAGAAATCACGGGGCCTTTGGAGCTAGCCGGGCTTACTCTGAATCTCAATCCTCTCTCCTCTTGCTAGCTCTGTTTCCTTGAAAAAGTAACTAACCTTAATGACACCCTAATTTCTTTATTTCTAAAATAACAATAGCAAATACTAACAGAGCACTTATAATGGGCCATTGTCCTAAGTACTTTACATTAACTTACAATAACTGTATGATGTTGGTACCAGTATTATTCCCACTTTATAGACAGGAAAACTGAGGCATAGAGTGCTGAAAGGTTAAGTAATTTGACATCAGTAGCAAAGCTTGGATTTGGGCCCAAGCAGTCTAACTCTGAAGTCCATGCTGTGAGCTGCAGGCTCCCTGTACTGCCTCCTGAGATGATAGGATCAGGGGTATAGGAACCTCTGGTCCAGAGCCAGGCACACAGTCAATGGGACTATTAGAAGGTTTGGAATAAGAAAGTTCAACAGCTCTGACCACCCACAGAAAGAGAAGCACCAATTTGTGGGGAGTACTCTGATTTTGATCTTATACCAAAGTCTTCTTATGTCTTTGCCTTTGAACTTGCAGGACCTGCTGGCTGAGGCTTTCCTAATTGGGGGGAGATTCCTTCAGAGAAGGCATCTGGTGGTACACACCACTTACCTTCCCTTCACCTGCCAGGAAGTGGAGCGCCGGCAGGTGGGCAGGGATAAGAAATGGTGGTGTCACCACCAGCACAGGTGCACTCATCCCCCCACCTCCCCATGGCCGCCTGCCCAGTGCAGGCTATGGTGCTGGAGCTGCAGGCTTTCCTGTCGACAGTAATTAGAACCTTTCAGACTCAATTTCTTGCGTGAAAAAAAAATCCCAATTCACTTGAATTGTCTCCTTGATCCAGTTCACCTGGAGCTATTTAGTTCCTGCAGTTTGTTTGGAGGGAATAATAAGCTTTTAAGCCTTCACACATTACAGCTGATAAGATCAAGGTGCTGGGAATGTTAGTTGGGTAAACTTTGGAGCCAGACTGCCAGAGTTTGAATTCCAGCTCTACCATTTGAGCATGCATGATCTGAGTTTCTGTGTCTGTGAAGTGGGAATGACCATAGTTAAGATTAGTTGAGACAGTACTGGGAAAACCCTTGGAAGAACAGTGCCTGGCCCATAGCAGGTGCTCAGTAAATGTTAACTGTTAGCATTTTCATGATTAAGCCACCCAGCCCAGGATCTTGCTCTGGGAAGCCAAATCTTCGTCCTGTCCCCCAGGCTCTGGACCCTCCTCTCCTCACACACGAGATGATTTCATCTATCTAAGCCTCCATGTCCTTAGCTGTGAGATGGGGCTGGGAATACTGGAGTCTACTTCATGAGGTTGTCATGAAGGTTAAGTGAGCTAATTCAAAGCCTGAGCACAGAGCTCGGTGACTAGTCAGTCTCACTGCTGTTATTCCTGAAGCACAAAGTGCTGCCCAGAAGAGATCTTGGAGAGCTCTTAGAACCAAAGGGTGCAAACAGGCAGGAGCATTTAGAGCTAACAAATGCCAGAGTGTGAGCCTCAGGTGTGCGGGAGACTGCTGTCTTGTTCCTCGCTGTAACGCTATGCCAGGAACAGAGGAGGCACTAAATGAATGCCTGCTGCAAGAGAGTATTCAAAACCAGGTTTGGCTGAAGCTACCTGACAGATTTTCAAGGCAGAACATTCCTAGGTATTTAAGCATTTAAACTTTGCAAGAAACACCCTCCTCCTCTCCTCTCCTCTCCTGCATTTGCCCCACAGGAGCTCAAAACAAAAGCAAAATAGCTCCCGTTGTTTGATGTTACTGTGTTCTAGACATTCTGCTAAGTACTTTGTAGACATCACCTCTTTTAATCTTGACTTCAATCCTACAAGGTAGGTATCGTCATTCCCATTTTACAGATGAGAAACTGAGATTTAGAGAGATTGAGCAATTTGCCCAAGGTTGCATAGCTGGGAAATTGCAGAGCCAAGATTTGAACCTGAGCCTGAGGGACAAGGGAGAGGCAGCTCCCATTTGCTCATCAATGTTCTGATTTTAGAACAAGTCTTATCACTCACCCTTCTCCCAAATACCCACTGTACAACCCAGGAGTGTCTCCAAGTGGCAGATGCCTCTCCCTTGAAGTCATCTGGCCTTGACATTATCTCACCACTACCTTAGTAGAACTGCTGTCTCTTCCACAATTAAGGTGACCAAAATTGTTTATTTGCCTCCACTTTCATTCATCTCTTTATCTGACTACCTTCCTCACTTCAACCTTTGGGAAAGTCAGGCTCCAGAAGTGGTGAACAGGATATATGTGTCTTTCTGATGGATTTAGTATTTCTAAGAACTATCGTTGCATGGGAGAAGCACAGGATTATTTTTGTAAATCATTCTTCTGTCCTTAGGAAGCGAGAATCTGAAGTTCCTGGGTTAGAATATCATTAAGAACCTAAAGAGAGCTGAGGGTCCAGAAGCCAGGGGGCACCCCCAGCGTCGTCTTTCTTGATTGAATATGGGGGTCACACAACTCTCTCTCTCGGCTTCTCATTTTCCTTCACCCTGTTTATCTTCCCAAGGATATCTTATAGATGATTTGGGATAAATGTGAATGACTGCGAAACACTTTGACCTCCCCGCCAAGAATGGTATCAGATCCATCCACCAAAGCTTAGCCTAGAAAAGCGCTCGTGATTCAGGAATAGAACTCTCCCTTATTTAGTTCCTGCCAGATATCACTCCTCTCTATACAGGGAGTTCTGGGGTGAGAACAAAGTGGGAACACAGTAGACTCAGTGGCTTTTCTCCCTTCCTTTCACCTTTCCTGTCCCAAATCTGTGAGACCCTGAGTGCCTCCTACTCCTTCCCTTGAAGAACAAAACCTCCTACCAGGCTGTGCCCGAGGTCAGGCAAGTGAGGAGAGGAAAGTGCACACCCCATTGTGGCCACGACAAAGGCCGCAAAAGCCATCTTGCTCCTTTGACCTACATTGACGCTGAGTCTGTTGCTTTGGTGTCCCTGACTTTGACAGTGTGGTTACTCTAACTTGATGCCCCCACCTTGAATTGAGCTTTGATGAAAAAGCAGTAGGAACCCAGGCCTGTCTTTGGGGATTTGGGGTTTTTGTCTTGGAAAAGCATCAAGCAAACGAGCAGGGACAGGAGATCTGGATTCCTGTGGCTTGAGCTAACTTAGGTCCAAAGAAACCAAGTGCCTGTGATCATCGTCTTCATCCCCCAAATGTGGCTGTGCCCTCTGGATTCCCTTCTCTCACTCATACTCCCAGTTAGGAGGGCTTCTGCGTTGCTTGATCTTGCTTTACCATTAGCATGTCCTTCCATATTTGAAATGCTTCGGTATATGGAATACTGTCCGATTGCAGTTGCCTAACTGATCGAAAATCTTCTGGCTTTGGTACGTGCAGTAACAAAACAACTGTTAAGCATCAGTGTACTTCCTCTCCCCTGGCATTCTATAAACCTCCCTGAGATTTACGTCTCTGGTTCTTCTACTGGGAGCCTCATCCTGGCCCATCTCTCCCAAAGCACTGTTTCTGTGTACCAGGAGTCATTTGGTTGCTTTGACTGTGTGCCTTGGCCCTCTGTCTTGGCTTCCTATAATAGGATGACCAGATTTGGGTACAGGCATCCAGAAGAAGCCAGCCTGCACAATCCTGGATGACAGTAATAAGGTCTGTGGGTTGCTATGCTGTGTTCTTCCCCATACGTTTCAAGACTGAATTTGCCTTAGTACTGCTTCCAGATATTCTGTGGATGGTCTTTGGGCATGTTGTGGTGAGTGTTCCCATGCCAGAGAATTTCAGCAAATTTAGCCAGCTTTGAAATGACTCATTCTTGCAGATTTTCATACAGATTTTCATAAGGAAAACCAAACTAAGAAGGCTAATAAAGGTACCCCTCTAATCCCCTCTTCTCACTTGACCATCTTTCAGACCAGTGAAGCTCCTTTGGCCAAAATGTTGTAGCTGGGTGCCTCCCACCCAGGAAAAACTTTGTAGAAATATCAATCTTCACATCTTACCCTTGGAGAGTTAGCAGCTAACACAGCCCTAACACTGACTCACCTTTAAAAGAGCAGCTCTACCCAGAGTAGGTCTGAAATTCATGAAATGACAAAAAAGAGAGCAGTGGCTTCACATGCAGAGACCTAACGTGTTCCTCTCCGTTTCCACTCCAGACCTGCTGACCATGAGGGAATATCACTGCTTGCTGCAATTGCTGTGCCCGGACTTCCCGCTGGAGCTCACTCAGAAGGCAGCCAGGTATGTCTCCTGCGCTTTGGAAGTCAACTCAGCCCCCTCTTTGGCCCGGGCTTCTTAGAGAAACCTGAAATGTATACAAACACACACACCATTAGGAGAGAAAAAAACTGTGAGGGAAGACATTGGCATTTGGAGAGGGGTCTATTTGGGATTTGCCCCAAAACATAATACTTTCTTCATTTCCAAAAGGATGCCAGATGATCCTCGGTGGTTTCTGTGGGGAGCCTCACGGTCTGCAGATAGAGTTGGGGAGTGGTGAGATGAAAAGACAAACACACAAGCACATGCACGCACGCACGCACGCATGCATGCACACCCACACACACGCCCAAAGAAATATCCCTAGAGGATATTCTGAGAACATATGGGGCAAGTGTTGGCAGCGGCTTGTGATGCAAGGGGTTGAGATTCAAGACTGGGAAGCATGAAGGTGATAAAGCCCAATCGAGGGAAGGATAAATTGGATTATTTATGCCAGAAGAAGGTTTTCAAGATTAGTCCAGAACCAGGAAGGCTTGGCAGAAATCGTTAGAACCCTCTAATTTCTGTGTTTGGTTTCACTGCCATTCACATTTTTTAACCAAATGAAGTAGTTGGGCTATGCCTCAGTTAACTCTTACTTATTTAACTGAAAATCTGAGCTAAGGCAGCAAATGGAAGTATAGCAAAAATCTTGCTTTCTGAAAAGTGCAATAACAGAGGATTTTGAGGGAAATACTCTGAATTATAACATACATGATGGATATATGTCATTATACATTTGTCCAAACCCATAGAACGTACACCACCAAGAGGGAACCATAAACAAACTGTGGACTTTGGATGATGTTATGTCAATGCAGGTTCAGTGGTTACAAATGTGCCACCTGGTGGGGATGCTGATAAACGGGGAGAGTGTGCCTGTGGGGGGACTAGGGGTACCTGGGAAATCCCTGCACCTTCCCCTCAATTTCACTATGAACCTAAAACTGCTCTAAAAAAGTAAAGGCAATAATAATCTTTTTAAATGCCCAGCTTCCCTAAATCAATTAAGCATGTATATTCACCACAGTATAGTTGACCCTTGAACTAGGAGGAGGTTGGGGCACCCGCCCTCTGTGCAGTCGAAAGCAGAGTATAATTTCTAGTCGGCTCTCCATTTACACGGTTCCTCGAACACACAGTTCCTCTGTATACAGGGCTCCTCGTATACACGGTTCCTCGTATACGCGGTTCCTCCTCTGCAGTGTTCCTCATATACATGGTGCCTCCTCTGCAGGGTTCCGAGTCGGCAGGTTTCGCATTCGTGGCGTTTACATCTGTGGGTTCAACCAACGGCAGACCGTGTAGTACTATAGTATTTAATATTGAAGAAGTCCACATACAGGTGGACCTGCAGAGTTGAAATCCAGGTTGTTCAAGGGTCCACTGTATATTCACATCCATCACCACAATCAATTTTAGAACTTTTTAATTAGCCCCAAAAAGAAATCCTGCACCCCTTAGCCATTACTCCTCAATCCACCCCCATCCTCCCCAGCCCTAGGAACTGCTTTCTGTCTCTATAAACTTGCCTATTCTAGACATTTAAAATAAGTGGAATCACATAATATATGGTCCTTTGTGACAGATTTCTGTTACTTAGCATAATGTTTTCAAGGTTCAGCCATGTTGTAGCAGGTGTCAGAATTTCATTTCATCAAATATTTCTTGAGTACCAGTTTGGTGCCAGGATCTATTCCTCACACTGGAGACACAGTGATGAATAAGAGATGGTTCCAGCTCCTCAAGGGAGCTTGACGTTTGATTTAGAAGAGGATTCCTCGGGTACCAATCACAGCCTTCCCCCACTTCGTGACATATGCCTGTGGTGTCCCTCACTCCCCAACAGCCACCGTCCTCCTTTCCCGTTCCTGAAAGGTAGGGTGAGCCCTCAGGATGATTTTAACCCCAGCATCTCCGTTTTTGCACTTGTCCCACCCACCTCTCAGACCCTTTCAAAGAGTCCAATGTACGTAAGCACTGCAGGATTAGAGGAGGAGGAATAGAATCCTCTAAAACCCACAAATCCTTAATTTATTGATACCAAGTGGCTTCTGGAGTGATGTCCCCCTAGCTGGGGCCAGAAGCTTACGTCCTCTTCACCAACAGGCCTACTGTTCGATAGGAACTTCAGACTTTTCAATTTAAGGAGGAGGGAGCATGGTAACCAGTCCGTGTCAATAGCAGGGAATGTGAGGGAGTTATGGAATGCCAAGATATACAAAAGAAGGGCCAGGGGCATCCTCAGGATACCAGCTACAAAATTCAAGATGAATTCAGGGCTCAGGCTCCTGTGTCGACCCCACCTCCCCAGGGCCATTCTTCCCCACTCCTGTCCAGCTGGTGTATGTGTGGAAGAATGGTATCCATCCCAGAAAGTACCCTCTGATTGTTCAAGCTATTGCCATCTTGTCCTGAAGGTCAGGATCCCAGCTTCCTCATACACAAGCCCAGGCTTCCAACCAGAACTGCAGATGGGGGTGGGTAGGTCTCCAAGGCAGCTCCTGTGGCTAGAAAAGTTACTGCCCTCTCCTCTCACGTTGCTGGGCTCCCTGTACTCATGGCCCTGAGGTCTGGGGACTGGCCGCAGAAGGAGGCTCCAGTCTCTGATGATGTGTGTGCAGAAGAATGTAATCCACAGGCAGCTGTACGCCAGAGCCCATTCGGGGCAGAGCCGCTCCACACGTGCCTGACTTATGCGCTGCAAGCACGGTGGCCAGGCCTGGGGCGGCAGGTGTGAGCTGGAAACACAGGAAAGGAAAGAGCAAACAGGCTCCCTGACAGCGCCAGCTGGAGATCCTCTCCCCTCACACACTCCTGCGGCAGTGGGAGTCATTTTGTCATGTTATCCCTGAAAGATCACCACAGCATCTCTGTCTCCATCCTCCATGGACTGGGGGCTTTCCTGTTGGTGAGGAACATTCTGCTCTAGTTGAACTTCCTGAGTTCAAATCCTTGTTCCACAATTAACCATCTGGTGCCCTTGGGAAAGTTATTTAATTTCTTTGAGCCTCCGTTTCCTTATCTGAAAAGTGGAAATAATCGTAGTTGTAATAATGGAAGAAGCATGCAATGTGCTTAAAATAATGCCTGGCACAGAGCAAACTTTCAGTGTTAGAAACCGTGGTATTAACCCTGACCTAAAAGCACAGGCATCATAGGGTTAGAAAGACCTGGGTGTACCCACCACCTGTGCTCCATTAACTGGATGGCCTTGAGTTTCTCTGTGAACTCCTCTAAGCCCTGTTCCCATATCTGTAAAATGGGGCTAATAATAATAACTAACTCATAGGGTGGTTGTAAGATTTTAACAAAAAATATATGTAAATTGGTTAGCACATTATAGACATTTAGTAAATAAGTTTCTTGCTGTTAAAAAATGTTGGCATTATTATTATTACCAGACCTTTATAAAATAAATGAGAAGTTCCTAGGTTCCCTAAGGCAGTGCTTTCTGGCCTTTTTTCACTTCACAACACTCAGAAAACAAAATGTAACAAAAAGCAGGATAAAGACAGGACTGCCTGTGATTAGGCTGCAGGCTCCGGCCTCCTCCCAGCTAGGCCAGGAGGACCATCACACCTGTAATCCATTCAAGGCCCAAATGACATAGGGTTGGGAAGCTGCGCGCCAAGGGTGAAGATTTAAAGCAGTGGTTCTCCAACTGGAGTGTGCATCAGAATCACCTGCAGGGCTTATTAAACCACAGATGGCCCAGCCCCATCCTCAGAGTTCAGTGGGTCTGAGGGAGGGCTCAATAATTCATGCTTCTTCCGAGTTCTCAAGTGATGCTCGTGGTCTGCGACCCACTCTGAGAAACACTGATTTAGAGCATTGCATCCCAGTCTCATCCTGGCATTTTAGAATTGCTTGTATTAAAAGGAATTGCATTCCCTTCTCTCTGTCTTGTCAAACACTATTTAACTCACTTCTCCCTCACTGAAAGCCAGATTCCCTAGTGAGTAATACGTGTTTAATAGGAAAAGCTCTTTTATCATGGTTATATGCTGAATACGTTCAGTGCTTTGAAAGCACATGAACAACTAAGGAATCCAGTTTTAAACATAACAACTCACCCCCATTTAAGAGAGTCATTTTACAGCTGGGCCCTGTGTCACAAAGGTGCGATGGCCTAACGGTGTAGGACTCAGGTGCTGGGGACAGACAACCCTGGATTCAAATCCCACTTCCTCTGCTCACTGGCTTGTGACCTTGAGCAGCTTCTCTGAGCCTCAATTCCTCCATCTTCAAAATGGAAATAATAGTGGAACCTGTCTCATAGAGTTGTTTTTAGGATTTAATGAGATAATGCATGTAAAATACCTGTCACAAAGCCCTCAAAAAATATTACCTATTTTTAAATATTGTAAATAGTAAATGGGGAGTGATGCTTCATTCTTGTATTCATTTTTCCAGTGTTTACTGAGCATCTACTATTGGCCAGACCTCATGCCAAGCCCTGAAGACACAGGTTTATGCTTTCTTGGTGCCTTTCTTTCTTTATGTCTCTCCCCTGCAGTCTTGTTCTGCATAGACCTCCTCCCCAGATCTGACCTGCCATCTGACAGAATCTCTGTTGCCTCAAAAGGCCTTTCACCCAAACAGACTATCCTTTCCCTCCCCCACTCTTTCATTTACCAAATATTTATTGAGCGCCTGTTACTTGCCAGTCATTGTGCTGGTGGAGGGGCTATGACAGTGAGCAAAATAGATGTTGTTCCAGCCCTCAAAGAACTTACAAACTGGTAGAGCAGCAGGCATTATATAAATGAAGAGCTGAGTGCTATAGGAACATATGAACAGGATACCCAGCCTGACCTGGGGAATCATGAAAAGCTTTTCCATAAGGCAGAGATGTTGAATTTGGGACCTGAAGTATGAGTAAGAGATGAACTTGCCCTGTTAACTACCAAGGCTTATTATAAGGCTATTATAATTAGGATAGTGTGGTTCTAGAGTAAGAATTGACAAATAGATTA